GCATTAATAACTACAAAGGAAAAACTTTCAGGGGCTCAGCGACTTAACAAAAGATGGGTTTATTCCTGGTGCAGAGGGAAGAGGGGTGTGCGTATGTGGATGTGGATGTGTGTGTATGCACCTGTCCTGACCCGTGGGTTAGTCAACGAGGACTCTGGAGGGGGAGTGGGGATGAAAAGGGACAAGAGACACAAAGAATGGAGAAAAGACAGGATTCTGATCAAGTCTAACTTTATTCAGGGGAGGTGCTGGGTATATATAGGGAGTGTAGGAATGAGGAAGTCTCGGCTCTTGGGGGTCAGCAGGTATCTAGGCAACGGAGGAAGGTGCAACCCCTGGGGCATAGCACGTGACTCACGAGGAATGGGCAAGGTGAGAAGGACCATAAACTTAACTCAGCAGGGGAATAGAAACTTAAGAAAATGGCTGACACTATTATCAAATGGATACCAGTTAATGGCTTCCCACATGCACCCTCTGGCATCCAGGACCGAGATGCACGCAGACTCTGCCATCTTCTATGTGTGCCATCCAAGGCTGCTCTAAATAACCTGGGCAGGGGAGAAATCATGATGCCCTTGCAGCACTGCGAGTCAGGCCTAGAAGCGGCACGTACAGTCACTGACAACCTTAAATTGGCAGAACTCAGCGATGTAATCAAACTTCTCTACAAGAGAAGCTGGAAAATGTAAATTAGCTGTGTCCTCAGGACAAATTGAGGCATTTTCATGAACACAACAATTTCTGTCTCAACCCAAGCATCCAGCAAGTACCAACTCCACCTCCCTCCTTCAGATGGAGCCACCTCCTTCCTTTCCTGAGTGCGGTCCCAGACCCTTGATCTCCGGTGGGTGAGGCTTTCTGCAGTGTGCCTGGGTGTGGCTCCTCACAGCCTGGCACCAGTGAACTAAAGAGAAGTTGTTGATCTCCATTTCCTGCACATATGCACTAATGGAGGAGGGACAGGTTTGGTTCTTTTTTTTTTTGGTTTTTTTTTCTTTTCCTTTTTATTTTTATTTTACTAGTTCTCTGCTGACAAAGGCAAGTAAGACTCTCATATGTTAGAGACATAAAAGGGCCCACATTGTACTCTAGAGCATTCTGGTGACCACATAATTTCAGTCAAAACTCCAGCCTCCTCTCCTGCCCAGGCCCTCTCTAGAGCTCTCCTAAAGTGTGAGCTCAAGCCCCCACAAAACCTACTCAGGTGGCTGGAGACAAAAAAGCAGAGATATCATTTGCTCTTTCAGAACTATTCAGTGGGCACCTACACTGTGCCAGGCACTATTCAAGATACTTAAAATACCTGGAGGGAAAGATGAAGTCTTTGCCTCATGCGCTCATAATCTAGCAGGACAAGGAGAGAAGAAACAAGTTAAACAAATGCATAAAGAAGATGATTGTGAAGCAAGAGAACTGTCGCAAAAGCACGGTATACTGTGGATAGGTGGACGAGGGTTCACCTCTCTGAGAGGGCCCACATAGGCTAGATGAGAGATAAGAAGAACCTGCCCCCAAAAGACCGAGGGAAAGTGCAGGCTGAGACAGGCGAGAGTCCTGTGCACTCTTATTCTCATTAGAACCTGGCAGCTTGTTGTGGATGAGAAGCAGGTTTTCACTTCCGAGAAATTCCTGCTCATGGCCTCAGAAGATGCCCTGTGTACCGTGCTGCATTTGACAGAGAGGCTCTTCCTGGGCCACTCGCATAGACTCACCGGCAGCAGAGTTCAGCAGTACCTCCGGGTCCTGGTGGCTCTGCTCTTGAGCCGCACCTGGCACACGTGCAGGCAGGCTCAGCAGACAGTGCGGAAGCTGCTGTCCTCTCTCAGGGGCTTTAGGCTGGCCTGCGGACTCCTGGAGGAGCTGAAGACTGTCCTCAGTTCCCATGAGGTGCTGCCCTTAGAGACTCTAGTGACCGACACTGGAGAGGTGGCTGGCACAGGCAAGGCCTATGTGCCTCCACGGGTTCTGCAGGAGGCTCTGTGCGTTATGTCTGGCGTGCAGGGGCTGGACAGTCATGTCACTGATGAGGAGCAGTCGGCCCAGGAGATGCTCGTCGTCTCCCGCCACCCGTCTTTAGCGGCGGTACAGTCTGGACTCTGGCCGGCGCTTCTTGCCAAGATGCAGATTGATCTTGAAGCCTTCATCACCAGGCGTCTGGATCAGATCGTTCCCAGGATTACCACCCGGAGTCTGTGAACCTGTCTTCCATGACTACGATGGGCTCCTTTCTCTCGTGTCCGTGGACCGGGTCCTCCCACAACTCATCAGCACCATCACCACCTCTGTGCAGAACCCTGCTCTGCGCCTTGGGGAGGCAGGAGGAGTTTGCTATTATGCAACCCCCTGCTGGGAACTATATGGCAAATCCATCATGCAGAGTGCCCAGCAGGACAGCATAAAAGGGACAGGTTTTTACAGTGCTACTATTCACAGTAATACTTCCATTCATAAAAAGGAAGCCTGGGAAACAGCTCACTGGATGCAACAATCCTGAAATCCTACTGGGTGATCCCGGTGGAAGCCTCCGCTCACCAGTGATGGAAACTCCTTAATTGAGTGCTAATTCTTCTCCCTGGGAGGAACATTCCTTCCTTGTCACTTAGCTTCTGTGATCAGGCGGATGTGGGGCTGAGAGTCGAGCTCCTTGAGGCTGTACAGATTTGGTCATCTGCTTCCCAGTCATCAGGTTGTGTGGGCACAGTTTTCAGACATCAAAGACCGGCCCTTTGGAGATTTTGGCAGTCAGCTCCCTCACAGGCTTCTGTTCCAGTCTTAGTGCTCATACACGTCAAGAAGTTTTTCCTAAGTACAATTATCAACTTTAATTAATCTTTCACTTCTTTATGACTCTTAATGGCTCTGTGAACAAAGAGCTCTAAAGAGTCCAGGTGGGAGAGCCCCTCCCTGAGTCTGTCTTTGGCTCAGGGCTGAGTTTGACTGCCCCCTTCCTCTTCAAATCCACTCTATCTCTTACTAGTTGGGGTCACACTTTCACTTAACACCAAGGCTTCCAGTGTCTGGACTTTTCCCTTTTATGTCTGTTGCAAGCAATCCTGCTCTTTAATATCCAGAAAATAGCAGCCAACTCCATTAACATCCAGGCTCTATAAACCTTTTTCTCAGAGCAGAGATTGGCAATCATATTTTTGTAAAATTTAAAATTTAAAATATTTTATTTATACTGTGATCCACACAATCTTTTTTTTTTCTTTGTATTTAGTACAGAGTCCACAGAGTCTCACTACCCAGATCGGATTCGTGGTGATCCTCCTGTTTTTAGCCTCCCAAGTGCAGGGATTACAGGCACGCGCCACCATGCCCAGTCTTAATCAGTGTCTCAGTGTGCCCCGGGGGCAGGACTGGCACAGCCAAGGATCATAACCCTGCCCCCTGTGTCTGCCTACGCAGGCACTTTAATCTGCCGCTGCCTGGCCGGCCGTTACACAATCTTATCAAGCTGCTGTATTTTGTTGGAGTGTAAAGTGAGCCATAGAAACAGGGGGACAAATGGGGTTGCTCATATTCCCACCAAGTTCATTTAAAAGTGATGGCTCAGATTGGGCACATGGGGCATCCCTGGGGACTGCCTGCCACAGGAGACCATGCCCTGCCTTCCCACTGTCACTTTCTTCTCTTCTGTGTCAGCTGTCACTGTGCTCCTATCTGGTGCCAGTATATGTATTTGTTAAAATGATGTCATCTATTCCCCTTAAATGATGTCATCTATTCCCCTTAAATGATGTCATCTATTCCCCTTAATAAATCTGCAATTGCCTCAACCTTCTAGAAATTACTTTGTTGGAGTACAAAGTCCACGTGGGACTGCAGTGTGTGGTCACCACATAGGGGCCGTGCTCCACACAGACGTTTAGAGCTGGCATTAGCTCTGTCAGGAGAACACAGAGCTGTCCAGGTGCCTGGGTGTAGACAGCTTGCAGTGGGGTGGCGGGGGGTGGGTGGTCACAGTTGGGAGGGCTTTAAGGGCCAAGAGCGATGCTCTCTCATAGCACCTTTGCTCAGCTCTGTCAAGTAGAGTGCAGATAAGCTTGGTAGCAAGAGGCACGGGAAAGTGGCTGAGCTGCACAGCCAGGGGTGAGCAGGTGCTCGCCTCTTCTAGAAATTGAAAAGAAGACTATTTTAATGTTTCCACAGACAAATACAGGTCATTTATGCAGAAGCACTAGAAATTATATTTAAAATATTTTTTCAACTGATACTAGAAGTGTACAGACAGTAAGTAAACTGTGCATGAAACAGTCCAAACGTATGACTCTTGTGCTAGCATCTTTATTAAAAAAATAAGATTTAAATAAATTACACATTATGAGGGTGGAGCAAGTATGTCACTAAGAGTTAACACCTTTAAAAGAAATCAATTTATGGGACAGTTTCAATGTATACACTGTTGAAAGAAATCACAGACTTGGGACAACATGGATAGACAAGACCAGACTGACAGAGAGGACACCAGAAAAGTGTTCCCCTCTCCATGACTACGTCCTGCTGAAAAGCTACTTCTTTATACAGTGTATGTGTAGAAGAGTGGAATATATGAAGCTGGTAAAATTCCTTTCAAACCTACTTCCAACACCTTCCCCTTCTGCAAAGGAGGGGATCCCAGCAGCAATGGTTCCATTTTAAAAGTAGTGAATAATGTGCTGATCTCCACAGCCCCAGATGAATGTCACTCCCACTGGCCCTTCGCTATAGAGATTGGTAGCAATAGCTTGGGAGTCTTGAACTCTCATGCCTCCCCACATCTGGTAGTTCAGAGAGACCCTGCTGTCTGAGGACAGAGAGCAGAGGTGGCCACATCTACAGCTGGTATTGCTGGGCACATCCTCAGCCTGCCTCTAGCCTTCTCCCATCCTGTACCTTTTTGATCTTGGTTTCCTCAAGGAAACCATTGTTGGGTTTCTTGCCCAGTTCTAGGCACAATGACAGACACTGAAGTAGATGCTGGCCTTTCTCCTCTGGCCCTGAAGTCTAGCAGAAGACTGTACTACTTCTGTTTCTTTCCCTGTGTCCCATCATTATCCCCTCTTTACTGGACTTATGTGGCCCTCTGTCTAAAAGGAAAGGTTTCCTGAGAGGATGCATAAGACTGTTGAAGAGGAAAGAAACAATAGATCTGTAAGGTCAGACTGAATAAACCTTGTGAACCAAGAGTGAGGAACACAGGGGTGGTGGGAGGTGGGCCCACCCCAGCGCCCTCAGTCCTGCAGCCCCCTCCCCACAGCAGAGATCACTGCAGTCTGACGACTCCTCATGTGAGGTTAGTTCCTGGGCCTGGTGTTCACACACAGACCTCTCGGTATCTGGGTCCCGGGGGATTGTGACTCCTCCATCGTCTCTTACTCCTTCATCTCACTGAAAGAGCAGTAGTTGGGTCCCAGGCCTTTCACAGTGCAATCAGTGCTGTCGCTGTCACACTTGCCACAGTGACACTCAGTGGCCACAGGATATGTGTACAGGGAGTCTGCGTAGTGGGCGCAGCCAGGCACTCTCACAGTCTCATACACCAGCTCCTTGAAGGTGCATGTTTTCTGGAGGTTGGGCCTCATGGGGGCCTTGTACACCAGGTCCTGAGGGAATTAAGAAGGGAGAATCAGGCTACAGTGCCCTGAGGGTTCTGCTGGGCTCAGCCAGAGGGAGGCAGGGGCTGCATTCCGAGGCTCTTGATCTAGTTAGCCATTGTCATCCATGAAGCTTCATACACGCCCTTCGGGCTGTGCCAAATTGCTGATTCCTTGGGAAATCCTACAGAAATATGCAAATATTTCTTCCCTAATCCCTATTCTTATATCAAAATATTGATTATATCTCAAAATATAAAGGTTTGCACACAAAAAAGTGTAAAGGGAAATATGATTTAGAATTTTCAGTTGACCTTTTGTACTTTATTGTGAACTATGTAAATAACTAGAGTCATAGACACTATAATATAATTTCTTAGAAAAAATTTAAACATAAATTATTATCTTGCTATATTTACAACAGAAATGTTAAACATGAATGCTGAGGCACAACACCTGTATGGGGGCTGCTGTAAGATGTTAAAAATTCCTCTCCCCTGTGGGCATTCTCCTCTCTTGCATGTGGTATACCTTTCAGGGCTGTTAGGTTCTAAAGATGCATAGTTTTTATATGAAATCTTTTAACTCAGGCAAAATAGTTCCTTCTAGCACTTTCCATTGGAAAATTTATTTTCACTGAAGTGAAAAAATTGGACTGGCATTTATGTCAATATCATGTTACCAAATCTGTGTCCTAAGAAGGTACAATAAATTGTGCATTGGGAGGAGTTTGCTTGATAAAACTCATCTTGCCAATAAGTAAAGTACATTTCATTAAAAGTTGCTATTTTTAAGTTCAGTGAACAGCCTGAAGTGCGGGACGGACAACTAGAGAGCGCCATCCATCCTGACTGTCTGCAGTGTTCACTGCGCTCTCAGGTCGCTCGCTGGCTTTGTGTCCAAGCAGGTCAAGAGCGCGAGTATTGTAATGTGCTGTTTGTGGCTTGGGGTGTATTGTGGTAGTGTGTCTTTTGTGGACTACTACACAAAAACAACTACCTTTTTGGGAATACTACATGTTCCTCATGTTCCTTATGAATCTCTCTCTCTCTCTCTCTCTCTCTCTCTCTCTCTCTCTATATATATATATATATATATATATATATATATATATTCCATGTTTATTTTTCCACATGTAAAATTTAGCACGGAAGTATTTTATTTAGCTTTGGACATGCACACTTGGCACATTAATCAATTTACTGGATCAATTCTAAGGCTTCCCAAGTCTACCTAAGATGCACTCTAAGCCCCAAGCGGAGGTCCTGACCATTCGCCCCAGTCACAGCACAGCGGCTGCTGACCAAGAAGCTCACGCATCAGGGAGCGTGCTGGCTACGTGCGGGCTGGCGAGGCCAGCCTTGCGCAGGGCCTCCACGCCCTCCCTCCCTGGGCGACACAGGACCTACCCTGGTGTAGCAGTAGCCCGCGCACCACGTGGTGTTGACCGCGATGCAAAACCTGCAGTCCTCTCTCTCCACCGCGATGGTGATGTTGGTCAGCATGCAGCCGTTGCAGCAGATGGCACCCCAGCAGCAGAGGAGGAAGCAGAGCTGGGTAGGCTTCATCCTGGCCTGAGAGATGGGCAGGCATGGCTGTTACAGCCGAGACACCGAGACTTACAGTTTTGATGCACAAGGCCCAGGCTGAAGCCCTTTCTCCTGACTCCTCCCCAGTCGTGCTCCACTCAGCCAGTGTCTCTACTTTTTGAACCACATTCTCCCTCCTCCTTTTTTTTTTTGTTGTTTGTTTTAGGTCAAAGTAGAAACACATGGCGGATCAAAGCAGCAAGTCAGTTATTTAAGTAGAGCAGCACTAAAAATGTCATATTAACATGAAGATGGATTGTTATTGATGATCTTAAAGTGAAGGAAATAATTGGGATCATTTTTATGTCCAGCAATGTTTTTATTTTTATTTTATTTTTTTTCCAGCAATGTTTTTAATGACTACTTTAGTTTAGAAAGTAGAAGAAAATTACATATAACAAAATTATTTCATTTTGACCACCTGAGGCTTGCCAAGTTATCACAATGTATGAACCCTGTTTAAGGAAGGCAGCTATGCTCACCACGATATCACTAACGCCTCTTTGAACCCTATTGAAGAAGCTAAGCTAACAGATGCACAGTCTCCCTGCAGCGGTGGCAGCAAATTGTAATTTCTTCTCCAGGCTCTTAAAACTCTGTAATTTCAAAGTAGCGTTCATCACTTAATGACAAGAAGTTCAAGACTCACCTGTAAGCGGCTTCTTGTACAGGGAAGGAAGGCTACAGGCTGAGTCCAATCCCACTTCCCCTTTTATACAAAACTGGGTGCAATCAACACCACGTGGATTTGTGGGGTATTAATGTGACTGATGTTACCATGAAATTGGCTGCAAGTGAATCCGTGTTTAGACAGACAGGGAGATCAAGTCTCCTGAAGGTAGTCTAAACGCAGTGGATCAGAGAGAATAATATTATCCGAGAGGATGATGTACAAATTAAATTTGATATGTTAGCACGCCCACTCGTTCACCTTGTCAAATTAAAGGTGACTTCAGCTGTTTTCCTAATCTTTAACTTAGGGAAATTAGAATCACTCTAAGTATTGCTTTGGCCCTGCTGAAGAGGTGCATTAAGGCGGTACAGCTAACACACTGTTCCAAGAGAAGGCTGAAAGCTGTGACGAAGGAACAACAAATAGGAAACATTTCTTTATGTGACTCCTACACAAATTGGGAAATTTGTCTTTCTTTATTTTCAAATTCCAGTTCTTCTGATCTTAATCCTTATTTTTGGTTCTTTAGAAAGAGCTTTCTACGTGATCTCCTCAACACGCTAACGCTATGGATTCACCCCCCAGCAATCTGGGCATGTGATGCTTGGTATGTGGGAAATGTCTGGAACTTCTCCACAGCTGCCCCAACACCACCGACCCCAGCAACCTCCTCCTCCGCCCTTCGCGCTCCGCGGAGCTTGCCTGTGGGAGCTTAGGGCAGGAGGCAAGGGAGCGCCTTCATCCCTGCTTCCAGCTTGCAATCATTTATAGTCGTCTCTTCCCTCCAGGAGATCAAGAGCTCTTTAGAGGATGTGTTTCACAAATACTTATTAAGTGGTGTGAGTGGAGCCAAAGGTCAAGGGCTGAAAAATGAAGATATATCAAGAAGGTAACAGAGTCAGGTCACGCAGGGCCTTGAAGGCAACATGAGGACTTTGGTTCTTGCGTGCGTGTGAGCTGACAGATTGCAGGGTTTTTGAGTAGAATAGTGATAGGAATCTATTTGGCTTTAAAAGTGTCCTTCTGACTACTGTATGGTAAAGTGCATACTGCTAGTGGAGGGAAACAAAGGTAGAAATAGGGAGACCTGCCTGCGCTCTACTAGAATGCTACCGTGGCAGCCCTGGTGGGAAAAGGGGGTTGTGCCAACCAGCGAGATAGCCCTGAAGGCTACGCGCCCTTGCACAACACTGGCTGTGCTTTGAAAATAGAGCAAACACAATTTATTACAGATAGATGTAGACTATCAGAGAAAGAAAGAAGTTGAGGGTGACTTCGAAGGTTCCAGTCTCAATGACCAGCAGGATAACCTTGCTATCCACTCAGTGGAGGGCTGAGGATGGAGTGTGTTTGGGGAAAAACAAATTCAGACTAATACCTCAGTGTTTTTCCATCTTGGTTTTCTCAAAGGTGCCCAGAGGGAGTGGATTTCATCCTAATGGTCTGTGAAGGTTGACTGTGTTCTCAGACTGCTAACTGGCATTTGTGGTCAAGATCGCAATGTTTATAATGCGACTGTTTGTGGCTTGAAAACAAGTTAAGCTTGTGGTGTCTGTAACATATCCAAGGACATTGCTGAATTGGGATTTTAGGGGCAACATTCAGACCACAGGTGTAGCTTCAGGAGTCAGTGACGCAAACCCTAGGAGCTTAAGAAGGGAGTGAGTGTAGAGGACACAGCGAGGACGAGAAGGAAATCTCACTGCACCCCAACATGAACAGGGCAAGGGCATGAGAAGGCGCGCGTTGGGACGATGTGTCGTCACAGATGGTGGGCGCAGAGGGTGTCAAGGAGGGGCGGGTACTGCACGGCCAGTGCTGGGGACAGGTCGGGAAGATGAGGTGGAAGGCACAGTGCGTGCGGCATGGGAGAACAGCGACACAGCTGGAAGAGTCCTTTGGGGTGGTGGGGACAAAGGCCTGACTGCGTTTGTTTCCATGGTTGGGAGCAGACAGCTGGGCAAATAGAGGACTTTAGAAATTCTGTTATGATGAAGATCAGCGGCGAAACGAGTGCCTGGTCGGGTGGAAGAAACAGCGGAGGGGCAGCACGGGACGTCACGATGGGAGGGGCTTCAGCTGTAGGCAGAACAGGGGCGCTCCTGTGCGTGCGTGCGTGTGCGTGAGTGTGCGTATATGCACGCGTGCATGTGTGGGTGTGTGCGCACGCGCGAGTGTGCGTGCCTGCGTGTGGTGCAGGTGCGTGAGTGTGCGCGCATGCCAGCGTATGTGCGTGTGTGGCCCCAGCCCTGCGAGGAAGCGCAGAGCTCCGCAGTCGCGGCGGCGGGCGGAGGGCGATCCTGTCTGCTCTCAGCTGCCGCCTGCTCCCGCCCGCCCGCCCGCCCGCCCGCGCTCGGTGCTGCGCAGTGGGCACCACTGCGGGCTGGGTCCGGCCCTGCTCCTCGAGCAGCCTGTCTTGCCCTGTGCGCTGGGGCAGTAGCAGCAGGCTCGCCCGGCCTTTCCGCTTCCTTTCCTCTCCTGCTTCCCTGGCTCCATCCCTCACCCGCAAGCTCCGCGGGAGCCCAGCTGGGGAGGGACTCCCAGGCCCCCTGCTGCTGCCGACCTGGCCAGGATTCCTTCTCCCTGGCCTCTCCGCAGGCGATTCTTCCAACACTGTGTAGCCACTTCCCCGAATTAGCCAAGTCCCTGGTTCCCTCTGTCTTCCCCGTTAGGAGTGATTTCCGTTTTCCCCCTGAACACTGACTGATACTCCTGCCTTGTTTCTAGCCCCCTGGAGTTTTACACACAATTATTAATTAACTCTGTACCTAGCCAGATACGCCGCCGCACCGCCAGGGAATCGTGGGCCTTTTCCTGGATTAGATTAAAGCACTGCTACGTTTTCCCAAATCATAGGGGCCTCTTTCCTGCCACTGGAGGGAAACAGAATCCCATTCCCGCAGTCTGGGGGTGCGTCTCATCCCTTTCCACTGAGGCTGCTCCTGGAAGCGCTCCACGGCGCCCGCTAGCCAGCGCTTCCCGAAGCCGTGGCCTCAGCCCCGGCGCGGCTTCAGCCTGCCCGCAGGCCTCCTGTGCTCTGCCTGGGGCTTCCTCAGGTCTCGCACCTATCCTTGTACATGCACCGCTGGCCTCTGAGGTTTCTGGTCAACCAGTGTCCTCAGCTGCTGGGGGATTTCTGTTCGTGGCGTCAAAAGCCTGTGTCTTTTTACTTACAAAGATTATTTTGCAAATAGTCCCTCCAGGTTTGAATGGAAGGTAAGAAGTTATATGTGCTCCTATCCTGATAAAGTGGTTGGCTCGTCCACAGTCCGATTACCTTTTCCTTTTCTGCCTACAAGAGACAAGTTTTGTAATGCACAGTTCTGAAATGTTTAATACAATTTCTTTTGCTTTATTTACTATTAAATTACTTTTTGATTACAGCATAATAAAAATTTATGTAACAATATTTATGCATAAAATGTGAATTAAAAAATTTTAGCACACCAAAGATACCAACTATGACACTGTAGGCCTCCACTGTCCAACATGGAGCAAAATTATGTTTGTTAGGAAAGCACCAACACCACATTCTTCGAAATTATTGGAATTTTATTTGCCTCAGGCTTCTGACTGGCAACCAAAGGCACTGCGCAAAGAAAACAAAGATTAAGTACACCTTAGGGAGGCGGCGACAACACGCACTGGTGACGTAGGAAATCAGGTGGACGAAAGAAGCATACACTGTACAGATCGCAATATTCAGTAGCATTTTCAACAGACTTTATTTAAAGCCAAGAGCAAAAAAAAAAAATAAGCAGTGTTCACACTAGACATAAATCCTATACAATTAAAAAGCATTTTTCAGATCCTAGAGCATAAAGTGGAAAAATGGATATGTAGGTGAAATCTAACTGCTGTTCATTTATCACCTATTAAAGTTGCTTATATGTACCACTGGGTAAAAAAAGTAATACCAAACAAATACAAATCTTGAAAATTGTCTGATGAAAAAGAAAATGACCAGTGGCTTTTAATGGCTTCTCCTGGTTACTAGTCAGACAGGTGATAAAACCAGGACAGACCTTTGCCAAATTAGACCCACCCGTAGAAATACACTACCCACCCGCATTTTCCATCAAAAGCTTTTGTTTGTTTTACTCTTTGAATCTTTGAGGCCCATTTGGTCACAATATGTTACAAACTGTGTTTTTTACACCACGGTATCATATGTTTGTCTGGCACTATTCTAAAGCTGGTTTATAAGATGAGGAGGAGGGCACAGACCCCAGTGCCCACAGGACACGTGAAGCCACTGGGCAGACATGGGAGGGGGAGGAAAAGCATTCAGTCCCACGGGTCGCTCCTCATCAGTCCACTTGCTTCTGACTGGTCGTTTTCATCCCGCTCTTCTTCGCTGTCAAAACGCTTGCCACTGGCTCTGCTTTCCCTCGATTTGGCCTTTTCTCGCCTTTTCCTTTGTCCTGGCCTTTCTCATCTCTCTTGCTGAGCTTGATTTTCACCTCAACAGGTTTTGCCTCAAACTCAGACTCCTGCTCACCAACCTCTTCCTCTTCCCCATTGCTTTCCTCCTCACTCTCTTCCTCTTTGGCACTTTTCTGCCATGCACTCTTAAACACCGACTTACGACAAGGGAATCTTCGTAGATCCGGGATCTCACAGGTTGAACGTCTGAGCACTGTGACATAGAAGCATGACATCTTTCTCCAGGTCACCCAGGCTCCGGAACTTGTTTTATTTTTTATTTTTTTAAGGAAGAGGCTATAGGTGTCAGGGTCTCACTACTAAATCAGACTCGTAGTGATTCTCCTGTTTACAGCCCCCCAAGCGCTGGGATTACAGGCACGTGCCACCATGCCCAGTCTCAATCTCTGTCTCAGTGTACCCCAGGGGTGGGGCCGGCACAGCAGGCCTGGGCCCGGAACCTATGAGTATGAATCCTTTCCTTTATTTTTTTGAAATCCCCTGGCATCCTGATTCATTCATAGTATTCTGGTAACTTTCCTGGAAGGTACCTGAGTGAAGACTTCACTGAGCTGCTGCACTGAAC